CGTGCATTAATAATAACAAAAACACCTCGAGTTCAGTTTCGCGTGTGGATACAGTGAGTGTGGTTTGTGTGAAAAAAAGTGAGTGACAATGGTAACGGCATAACAAATCGCGATGAAGGTAGTCGTCGACAGCGGAAGAGGTTAGACAGATATGTCTGCTCTTAAAGCTGTCATCTGCCCCCGTCCAGTCAACCCGTGACCATGGAGCGTGAAACCGTTCCGAAATATCGGGAAAATAAAAAGAAGTCATACCGTGGTAAGAAGCCTGATATTAGTGATAATCACTCAAATGACTGTTATTAAACAATGTGTAAAGCAATCAGAGATCTACTCACCATCCTCCAAGAACTTCAAGTCAGATTCATTGAGTGTATTATCTCTCATGAAGAGTTCCCTGCCAGTCAATTTGTTCTTATCCTTGGCTTCCCTTTCTCTCTTGGCTGGGATGCCCATGTCTGCCTCAAACTGTTTTCTCCACGCTAGGAATGACTCTACTGTCACCCTTGTGCCTTCAAACCTTTTCTACAATGAAAATTGAGTGAAACTGTAAAATGTTATTAACAACACTTGGTGTCTAATGAAATAATAATACAAATTAAACAAGCTCCTACAGTGTGGTGAAAATGTTTTTATAGAATAATATATGAATTTTCGGTAAGTTAGTATTTCTTTCGGAAGTATAGTTTTTTTTTCTTAGACTATACAACAAGCTCTTGATTGATTGCTAAATATAAATAATTTTGTCGGTATATTTTGTGTTTATTTTTTAGTAACTCTTTTTAACGCAGCTTAGTTAGTATAACAGTTAGTCACAATTCGCTGCAATTTTATTTGTTTTTCAGAACCTTTATTATTTCCATTAAAAAAGTTTGTGTTGTGGGTCGCTCTTCGCCAACTGACTTCCAAATTGTGTGTTAATGGCGCCTCTTAACGGCAATACGTGACAAGTGACTTGGCGGGGGATTAGCGATATTCGCTATTTGAATGGAAAATGTTATTGAAATTTGGTTATAAAATGTGTGTTAGCTGGCAAATAAACATTTTTTTTACTTTTAATTAAATTTCCGAAATTATAATTTGAAACACTTCTTGGTATCCTTATGCGAAAATAGCGCGCCTTGTCGTGTTGGGATAGGATACTTGTTTCATTGTAATTTAAATTTTGATCTTCTCATCGATAACTAAAGTTTTTATTGAACGAATAAATGATTTTTTACAGCGCCGTGTCATGTTTAACTTTCCATATACATTAGAATAATAACGCTTACTTTTAAGAAGTGATTCAAATGAATATTGAAGGAATAAGTGATAAAACTTTCACAATATACATAAAAGTGTTATTTATTAAATTTATTAAGCGATTGATTAAAAGTACGCCTTCAAAAAGTTTTTTTTCTTTCTGTCTGATCATATTAAAAATTATTTAATTATGCATGAAAGAGTTAATAATATAAAAAATTATCAAAAAGAAAGATAGAAAGAAGATAGAAAATTATTATTTCACGGTAAGGTCGTAAAAAGTTTTAGTTACGCAATAGACACAAGGAGAGGGAGAACTATTTCATGACGCTGATTATCTCTAGACATAAAACCCGGATATGATGACTATCGTAATATGACTTTTATGATAAGGATTTATAAAAAGTTTTGGCCGAAGGGTGTCGTATATTGGCGATCCGAGGCAGGTTTCCTGACACACGATTGCGCTACACGTCGCCGACAAACACACTCAGGACCGTATTCGAGAACTCTACTCAATGCTCAAGTCAGGATCAGAGTGTGATTTCAATCACTGGAAATACGACCCTAATGGCAGGGATTTGAGTACGATTTCGAGTGCTTTAAACCATACTCAAATCCTGACTTGAGCATACTCAATGCTGACTTGAGTATGATTTCAAGCACTGAAAATACGACCCTAATGGCAAGGACTTGAGTATGATTTTGAGTGCTCACTGCAATACTCATGTCCTGACTTGAGTATTGAGTAGAGTTCTGGAATACGACCCTTAGTGTAGATTAGTTACTTATTTTTTTAAATATTATATTAATGTATGTTGATCCTTAATGCTCTGGCCACACAGAGCTGGCTGTGCGTTTCAGTGTGGCACGGTTCACATGAACTTGTACATTACAAAAATTCCCGCGCTCGGAACGTTTGCGCGACCCCCTCTGTATGGCCAGAGCATAGTTTTAGTAGCAGAAGAGCTCCTTGTGAAAGAGTTCGTCCAGGGAAGTACTGCCACCTTATCTATTTTTGCCGCAAAGCAGTAATGTCAGTATTACTGTGTTCCGGTTTAGAAGGTAAGGGTGCTGGTGAAATTACTATCATATCGGACTTGTCAACTTATATCTTAGGGCGACGGGCGCAGTGGCAGTGCGCCTCAGATCTTTGCGACTTAAAGAGCTGAGTGGCACTGCAACTGTTATGGACAGGCGTGTACCTTACCATCAGGCGCACGACTTGTTCGTCCCGTCATTCGATATTATAAAAAAAATATATGAATCCCAGAGTCGTATTCTAGAACTCTCCTCAATGCTCAAGTCAGGATTTGAGTATGGTTTAAAGCACTCGAAATCATACTCAAGTCCCTGCCATTAGGATCGTATTTCCAGTGCTTGTGTTTCAATTGCAATCCTGACTTGACCATTGAGTAGAGTTCTAGAATACGGCCCTTAGTTGCTTGATGTGAATGAACGAATAAATAAATACCTTTTCCATACTTCAATCACATTCTTGGGAAAATTAGCCATTCTGTAACTTTTTCTGCTTTTTGAAATAGAAATTTCCGCTTTCGGGCGTCGGTTTGAGGGCACAAGAGACAAATGAAAAAAGCGACGAGTGCACTAAAGGCTACTCCGAAAACCGACTTCCGTAACTGCTTCGGGATGTGGAAGCACTAGTGGGAGAGTGTTGTTCAGTCGAACAGAGATTACTTTGTAGGATACCATGAACCGGATTATGATTAATAGGCCGGATACTTTTGGGACAAACCGCCTATGTATTAATTATTTAATAAAAAAATAAAATAAAAAAAATTTAAATAATACAACCCATGTTCTCTTATTCTCTCTTACCAACTCTGCTTCCTCGTCAGCCCTCTGTTTAGCAAGAATTTGTGACTCCCGCTCCTTTTTCACACTGTCCCATTTATCATTGAGCCACTCCTGTGCCGCTGACACCAATGTGAACACCATCACCATGCCTAGGTTGTTCAATGACTGTAAATAAAAACATTAAAGCAATAATAATGGTCCTGAAGACACAATTACACTGACCGTAAGGGTGCCATCAAATTAGACACTTGTAGAAGCGCCTTTGAGAGATGAGCTTAAAGAAATTACCTTTATTAAGAAATTACCTTTAATTAATATTAATATTATAATTTCGAGTTCTTAGGTTTTCGCGATTGTTACACATAGGAAATGAAACTATTTTTCCGGATTTAAATCGCGTATATTTGTTTTTTCAAACATCCCCTTATAGGATGCAGGAGTTTACAAGCTTGACTGTGAGTGCGGTCTCTCTTATATTGGACAAACAAAGCGAAGTATTTGTACCCGCGTCAAAGAACATATAGCTGATGTCAAACATCGTCGCGTAAACAAGTCTGCAGTCTGCGAGCATGTCATGGATAAACCTACTCATTCAATGAAGTTTGACAATCCCCAGGTCCTTGCAAAAGAAGTCCGTTATCTACCCAGGATGCTGCGAGAGGCCATTGAAATTAAAAAACATCCTAATTTCAACAGGGAAGATCGTTTCTCCGTACCACCGGTTTGGGATCCAGTATTTCCTCTAATGAAAAATCCCAAACAGACAAGACTGCAGTACTAATTAATATGTTTTAGTTTATTCTAATTTCGATTATTAATTAATAATAAATTGAACTTAATAAAAATTCATTCAATAAAATAATTTGTAAAACATAATGTAGCGTAAATTGGAATGTTTTCTTTGTAAAATTAAAAATAAGGTATTTAATTAATGACTATTATAACTATAGTTTAAAAATAGGGTGGTGGTAGGGGAAAATCAATATTAGACATAACTGGTTGAAGATTGTACCACCTCAGTCAACCGTGACCATGGGACCTGTAAAGGGCCCGAAACGTCGGTTTGTTTGAAAAAACAAATATACGCGATTGAAATCTGAAATTACCATTCTTACACTAGCATCACAGAACATTTATGAAAGTTATTTATTTTAAGAAAAATATTATTTTCACTATCACTTTTTATTTTTATGGCTCCATCATTATGAGAAATGATGATTTTGCCAATGTCACGGTTGAAAGAAAAAAAACGAAACAAAAAAAAAATTTCGCTAAGCTCTAATAGGACATTAACCGGTGTTGGTAAGTTGGACCACGGGAGTACTCAGTTGAGAATGTAAAACAAAAGACAACATTTATGACAGACAAATATATGTTATTTAAGTGGATACATTTACATAGAGTAACAATATGGGGGGAGAACACTAAAGAGGTTATTTTTATTTTATAAAAAATAGTGACAGACATAACATTAATACAAGGAATAAAAATTAACTACCTGTCCTTGACAGTTGTCTTCATGAAAACTCAAATTAATTTATGGGGCAATGTCTGCGCTTCTATAATAAGATCCTATTTGATTTATTTATTTAATAGTTTATTGTACAGGAAAAATACAACAAGTCACAAAGAATACAAGGGAAATTAAAAATAAAAGGTTCTGCTTATTTCTAATAGAAATTTCTTCCTGCAGACCTAAATACAGGACACTATAACTAAAAGAACGGCATATGTGCACAACAAAACAAGGAACAAAAAAAAATAATATAATAATATTAAATTGTAATAAATTATATAAATACTTAGATAAATACATATTTTATAATATAATACTTAAGATATGGATGGAATAATGCTCTTTAACTCTCACTTTAAAAACAGCTAACGATTTACTTTCGTGAACAGTAATAAGAAGTGCATTCCAAAGTTTGACCGCATGAACAGTGAAGGAGTGAGAATAGAAACCGGAATTGAAGCATAGAAAAGATAACTGGGACCTAACAAGAGAGCGACAAGGTTTATCCTGGCACCTAAGGAAGCTCAAACGTTCTTTCAGGTACCCGGGAGACACAGGGTTATGTAAAATATTGTAAAGATTGGAGACAATATACAAATTCCTGCGGAGACGGATGGGAAACCATTTGAGCTGACTGCGGAAATGTCAAATTCGGTCATATTTACGAAGCCCAAAGATGAACCTTATACATAGGTTTTGCAGTCGTTCAAGCTTATTTAGCAGTTCTTCAGTAGCATCCAAATGGTAGGAATCAGCATAGTCTAACAAGGGTAAAATAAGTGTTTGGACTAAACATATCTTGGTTTTTAAAGGTAAAACGTTTTGGAGGCGCTTAAGTGAGTGCAAGGAGAAATGGACTTTACGACTGACTTCATTAATATGTGGAGTCCAAACCAAATTACGATCTAAAAGCAAGCCAAGATTAGTTGCAGTAGAAGCATAAGCAATAGGCGTGGAATTATACACTATAGGTGGGACAGAATCTGGATGCAATATGCCACGCATATACCCACTTCTCACAATCATAGCCTGCGACTTTTTGGGATTCACCAATAAACCAAAAGACTCAGCCCAATGAGCGATGCTTCGTAAATCAACATTAACCGCTTCAACGGCTGTAATGACATCAGACGTTTTAAAACTGCGGTATAGCTGCAAATTGTCAGCATAGAGATGAAAGTTTGAAGACAGCACAAAAGTGACAGAGTTAATGAAAACAGAGAAAAGGAGAGGGGAAAGAACACCACCCTGAGGAACGCCAGCAACTAAGTCCCACCAATCAAAGGAAGCCTCGTCAGAGCGAATACACTGCAATCGGCCTCTGAGGTAGGAGTCGAACCAAGCTATAACCGAAGGAGAAATATTAAAAGAGCGAAGAGAAGCAAGCAATACGTCAAAATCGACACAGTTGAAAGCACTGCTGAAGTCCAGAAGTATAAGCAAAGTGAGAAGACCATTGTCCATTACGAGGCGAATATCATGTTGCCTTCAATAGTGCAGTCACAGTGCTATGGCCAGAACGAAAACCTGACTGAAACGGGGAAAGCAGCTTATTAGAAGAAAGATACAACATTAACTGCTTGTTGACAATGTGTTCGAGGACTTTGGATAGAAATGGGAGAATGGAGATGGGACAGAATTCGGAAAGGCAAGAAGGGTTAGACGTTTTGGGTAAAGGTATAACATGGGCAAGTTTCCATTGAGAAGGGAAAGAACTAGCTTCTAAAGAGAAGTTAAAAACATGAGTAAGGATAGGGACAAGTTCAGTGAGTATGAGGCTAATCATACGGGAATTGAGATCATCATTGCCAACAGCAGTAGAAGAAATAGAGAGATTATGGGTTTTGACCTCACATCCGGTAACAGTCCGGAAGGAGAAAGAAGTATGTACCTCTTTACCTCTTTACTTTACATTACTATACTTTACTGTGTGTGCCGGTAAAGTATAGTCAGCTAAAATGCGAAGGGTACGATGCTTATTCAAAGTAACGGGAGTAGGGAAAAATGTCTATTAAGCGCGTTAAGATCAGGAAGGGACGAATCACCAGAAGCAGTGGAACGACCAATCCCAATGAACTTTAGGAATTTCCAGATCTGAGTGGAATCGCATTTCTCACCGTTATCGTGAATGTGCCGTCTCTTAGCATCTCTACACAAGCGACGACAGCGATTACGCAGGTATTTAAAACGAGGCAGGTTGTCATTTGTAGGAAGCCTCTTCCAGTGTCGTTTCGCCTTATCTCTGAGAGCCATAGCGATCTTAATATCTTATGATAACCAGGAGGCAGGTGCATGTCTGATTTTAACCCGTTTTAAAGGCGCATGACGATCTTAAAGCCTTAATATAATTTCATTGAGCAAAGCTACCTTCTGATCCATAACTACGCAGTCCAACACAGGAGTCCAGTCAATATCACCCGCCTCACTCTTGAGCGCCTCCAAATCAATGGCCTTGAAATTTCGGAGAATACGAAATTTCGACTTACACTTAGGAAAACGAATTTTATACGAGAGAAAGAAAAGATCATGATAAGAAAATACAGAAGAACTGTCCATGGGAAGCACAATGCTCAGGGGACGAGACTATCATAAAATCAAGAAGAGATGGAATGCAGTTGGGAAAATGATGAGTAGCAGACAAAAGTAAAATATGCAAGTTGACAGAAGAAATTAGAGAAAGTAATTTATGGGCACGAGTGTCAATTTTTAGCAAACACGTATTAAAGTCACCCATTAAAATAGTGTGATCAAAGGAAGGAGAATGGTTGGAGAGTAGACATTCAAGGGACTGAAAGTAGTCGATATTAAGGGAGGGGCTATAAAAAACTGCAAGGAGCACTTTCTTGTGATGCAAGGAAATGTTTAAAAATAGGTGCTCCGCGGAGTTTGAATATAAGTTAGGAGAAGCATCAACAACAACATGTTGAATATCAGCTCGCAGATATACTGCCACCCCTCCACCACTTTTACCCGTCCTGTCATTCCGAACGAGCTTAAACCCGGGAAGACTGAAATGAGTAGAAGGAAGAGAAGGTTTTAGAAAAGTTTCTGATATAAGAATAGCGTCAACAGGAGAATCAATGAAAGAAGCAAGAAGGCCAGAATAGTGAGAGAAGACGCTCTGAGCATTGATATGAACAACATTGAAATTTTTGGGGATATTGCAGAAGGCTGAAGATAACTGATCATGCAGAGTCAAAGCTATGGAATTATTACTGTCATCAGCACTAAGAAAATGGCTTGGAGATGAGGAGCACGAATAAAAACTATCATTTATCCCTAAAGTAACATCCATATTATTATGTTCAATTAATGAACACAAAAATAAAATACAATATTAAATTGAATAAATATATCCGTAATAATACATAAAAATATAGTATATAAAAAAAACAACGTACAAACTATAACTAAAACAACACCGAACCATCAGCACTCGCCGTTGATATTCCAAATTTTCCGTTTATAATATAATACGTAAATAGCCCGTTTAGCTCCTGCAGGTATTCTCAATCTAAGATGTTTGAAATAAATATTGTAAATGATAAAGGTATTCAAATGAATATTTACAAAGAGGAACCCCTAGAGTTTCTTGCTTAATCTTCTCAGGGGAATTTGCCTTATGAATTAGCAGTAGAGTTTAACCAATATGACAATTTCAAGTGTAATTTGCTTACTTATGAACTAAAGATAATTTTGAATTTTGCACTGCAGCAGTGCCACTGTCGTGACATGCGCTCGACACTTTTACAGTCACAATTAGTGAACTAAAAATTCTTATAACCTACAACGCGTGGCTGCCGCGCCACAGTGGCATCTTGTTTGAAGGCGACCTAAAGTGTTAAGAATGATTTTGATGTCTAAGACATTCACTTTCATTCAAGAAAACCTTAACCTTGTGTTCTACTTGAGTATGAAATAAGATCTGCAATAGGATATTGGCTATCAACTTATGGCAGGATCGGGGGAAACCGATATTTTGGCCCTGAGTAAATCTTTATCGATATTCGAGAAAAATATAATAATAATTACCGGTTGGCCTGAACAAAAGGGGACACTATGGAAACAGGGCAGGGAAAAAAATATGGTCAATGGTTTTTAAAGCTTGTTTCGAGTATAATAGATCTAAATAAACATTTTCTATTGTTATAATATTTTGTCTACAGACGATAATTATCGTGAAAATTTTTTTTTTTACTGTCAGGCCTTGCATTTAAAAAATTGGGTTAGGTTATTATATGAAAGAGCAGCACGAGCAGAGCGAACTAAGCGAGCGTGTTAGAAGCCCATTTGTTCGCGTTTCAGAGTTCGTTCAAGCCCTTTCTAACCAATTTCCTCAAAAAATATCAGATGTAGAGAAAAATTTATAAGAAGAAAAAGTGTATTTTTAGGTCTACTCTACTTGAAACAAGCATTAATAATGTTTTTTGTCAAAATTTAAAAATTAATTGAATTTTTTCTGTGCTGATTTTTCTCTGTGCCAAATTTCTCGATAATTATTATATAAGAAAAATTATAACAATAAAGTGTTTATTTAGGTATATTCTACTTGAACAATGAGTACAAAAGAAATATATAAGATTAATCCAAGTAATATATAAAAAGAGTAAGGCTAAAATACAGCTAGGACTACGGGAAAGTAATTCCAAATCAGAAAGGGTGTCCGTCAGGGGGATCCTCTATCGCCCAAAATATTCTGCTGCTTTGGAAAGTATATTTAGACACCTGGTTTGGGAGAAATATGGCTTGAGTATAGATGGAGTACACCTTAACCACTTGAGACTCGCAGATGACCTTATACACTTGGCCAAAGTCCCAAAAAATGCTACAAACTATTCTTCAACAATTGGACATGGAAAGCAAAAAAGTCAGACTCACTATGAAGACCAGCTAAACAAAATTGATGATAAACAATATTAAAGAACCGATTGCGATAACTGAAAAATAAAATTGAATATGTGGACAAATACTTGGGCCAAATAATATCCACAAAGGAACAAACAGACAAAGAAATTGAAAGAGTCACAAATTCGTGGACGAAATTCTGGTCACTCATAGAAGTCCTGAATTCAAAAGAAATTGATACAAAATCGAATTCAAATATGTGCATTGTACTAGTGACCACATATGGATACCAGACATGGTTGCTTTACTAAAAACATTACAAAAGACTCGATGTTTGTCAGAATACTATGGAAAGAAGTGTGCTCAACATAAAAATTGAAAGATAAAGTCAAACTAACCACAATTAAAAATAAATCAAAGACTAAAAATTCAATTCAATAATAAAACAGCAAAAATGGCATTGGAAACATGATGAGAGAAAAAATTTATAAGTGGACAAGGAATGTTGTGGAATGGTACCCAGGAGAGATAGAAAAAGGTAGAAAGGGAGACCATACTTTATATGGGAAGACAATTTTAAATATGTTGCTGGAGATAGGATAGGGAGAAATGGAAATCTCTGGAAGAGGCCTATGTCTTAGGACAACCTGAAAGTATAGTCAACAAATTTAAGTAATAACAAATAAGTAATTTAATAATAAGCATGCATGTCATACAATGTTTCTGTGTTAAATAAGTTAGTATGTAAATAAATAAAAAATTCTACTTGAAACAACCATCAAATTACAATAACATTTTAAGAGCGAGAGTCAAAAATTTTCTAAGTCTCGTTTCCATAGTGCTCCCTTCGCTTCAGTTTGACCCAATTACCTCTTTATACAGATGCGAGAGTAGCTCCCCCTTATCAAAAGCATCGTCGAAGCTATCCTTGTCATCTATCTCAATGATAGGCCCCTCATCTGGGTACTTAGGAGTGTACGTGAATATCAACTTGCACGCCAGTCCATCGCCTTCGTCGAACCCTTCGGACTTTATAGATATCGCGAACTTATGGAACGGCCTTGTTTCTAACACTGTAACACATACAGATTTATCATAAAATAACGTTAAAATAGGTTGCACTTCGTGCCATGCTTGGTGAAGCCGGTGAATACGTACTTTGCATATCCGTATAGTAAATCGAGTCCAGTGCTTCGACCTCACTAGCTTGTTCTGCTGCATAATCATCCATTGTCTGGTTTATTTTAACATGGATTATAATAATATAAATTACCACATGAAATTTTCTTTCAACGAATACAATTTTGTTAATCTGACGAGCAGATGACGTTGTAGTTAAATTGAATACTAGAACGTAAATGTTATTCAAATAAGTAAAGTGACCAGTATAATCCGTATGATTTGTGTTGCTCTTTTTAATATCGCAGCATAGGGAAAATTCGATAAAAATAAGCACGATAAAACTGTCATTATGACATTGACATTAGCTCGATTTGAACATTAAGGGAGTCACCACATTTATTAATACGAATTTGGCTTGAGCCGAACAGAAAAAGCTTCGTATCCATGTAATAAGAGTAAAATAAATGCCGTGTGGTTTGCTCCTGCTCGAACCGCCGCCCGTCACAAAAAACACAACGTGTTTTTCGCTCCTATTCCTATTTCGTGAGCATAAAACATTTTTCTGACCGGCTTAATGCGATACCGTGTCTAGAAGTGTGGTAATTCTCTTACGTGCTTCATAAACGAAACGAAATACAGATTTTGTTTGTAGCGATAATAATTTATTCCTATTATTGCCATAAAAGCTAAATAAGCTGAATCGAACCAACAATTTTCGCTAATTTATTTTTTCTCAATTCTCTACTTTCGTGTTGTGTTCACACCACGGTACATAATGGATTCTCCAGATATGTTAACATCTTCAAACTCTAATGCGGAGTCCCATGATTCAGAGTAAGTATTAATTATAAAGACAACTGTGTTACTTGTATTCAGAAGTTTTATTTTAACTTATTTGTTTTTTCTAGGAATACACAACCACCCGCGCAGGATGCCGAAGACTACACAGACTTACAAGAACAAGTAATTGCAAACTTTCAGAAACCAAACTTGCCCAATGTAAATGTACCAGAGCACATAGTTTTTTGCTTGGACATCTGCCATGACAACCCGAACTCTCTATACCGTCTCGGCGACGGCACTACGTTTACTCCAATCAATATGTTTAAGCGTGTCTTAGACTTCTTTTTGTACTCAAAACATGCTATTAACAGGCATACAGAATTTGCCTTACTGGCTATGAAAGATACAGAGGCGTTGTGGCTTCATAACTTTACAAATAACTTAAAAGAGATAATCAACACTATAGATTATATAAACCCAGAGGAGGGCACATCAGAAACTTTTGATTTTAAGAAAGTAATTCAGATTTTGAAGCAAAAAATTGAAATACCCGAGTATAAGCAATCGGAATGCATTGTGCCGCCACCTTATGTTGTAAGAATGATAGTGTTGTATGGACGGTCTAGTTGTTTACCATTGATACCCCAAGAAGATCCGTACTTCATATCTTTGAAGAAACAGATGTATTTCTACATTGACATCTTATTAGCACACGAAGAAGACTGCGCACTGTACAAATGTGAAGACATATATGATGCATTGCAAGATTTGGATGACGGCTACTCTTATGTTTACGAAGTATCAAGAAACGCCACGAAAATTCATGATTGTATAGCAAAGTTATTGGCACACCCTCTACAAAGACCTTTGCAAAAAAATACTGACTATAGTTTTGGGTCTAGGTCAAATTTTTAGTATTAAATTTTTTATTACTTTTCAGTATATCTGAAGTAGCTCAAACTGATAAAAAATAAATTTTGCAATTTTGTTCAATGACAATATGATAAGTCAATAGTTTAGAGGAGAAAGGGCGTAAAAGTCAATCTTATCAAAAAATTGTTGATTACATCCATTGCCTTACAATTATATGGACATCGGGTCCACGCTAAAAAGTGTCCGAACTTACAGGGCGTTAAAATCGAGCGTCATTCACGCTCTAGTCTTTGTTTGTTCGACTGACAGCGAAGCAAGCAAAATTAGACAGTACTGCGATGACATTACAATTTAAATTCAACGTTTAAACTTTTTCATATTCCTTTACATGTCACTATGTTTAAATAGGTTGACTTGGGACATTTTTTTCGTGGTTTTTGTATTAGACCCGTCGTCCATTTATTTGTAAGTCAATGATTACATCATTGGGTGCTCTTTGTGGATGTTTACTCAAATTTTTCATGTAAACAGTGTGGTAAAAATAAAAAAATATGAATCTAAGTTTATAAATTTTTGTTCTTCACTTGTCTTTGTTTACTATGTTTGACTTTTATGCCCCTTCCTCCACCAAAAGAGAAACAATTTAATCCTCTTTTCCAAGCAGAATGAAAATAAAATATCTAAAAATAATTTTGACATATTTATTTATTTCAGCTTTCAGGGATTATGATTGGTACAAAAAAAACAACTAAGGCTATTATTATATGATAGTAAAATACTTACAATATTTATAATGTACTTTTGCAGTTGATTGACATAGATTTAGGTATTGACGCAAACCTTTACAATTTGGAACGACACAATTAAGATGTTAGCCGTTGTTACCCCATTAATAAGTCATGATTATTTTAAGCTGAATGTTTTGTCGAAAAGCTTTGTTAATAGCTAATAATACTTTATATAGTAATATTTTGGGGCCTAGCAGAGCACAATTTATCTGAAACAAATTGTCATTTTATAAAATGTTAACAATTCAGCCAAAGTAATCACAAGTGCTACCTATATTTCAATCATTGCTACACTAACCGGCACAGCCAACAATTTTATTCGATCTTACCAATAATGATTATAATACTTGCCTCACTATAAATGGTATAATGAAACATCACATGTATGAGAATTTTGAAAAAGTGAAACTCATTTTTCCGAAGCATTCTTCAGATAAAATATTAACGTCTTCTCGGGTAAAATTGTATTAATAGCTCCATGTTGAAATTGGCTATTTATTGCAATCTTTATAGATTATATACAATCTTTTTACAAGGAGCCCTTGCTGTTCATAAAACTAATATTGAGCATAGATAATAAACTCATGAAGCTATTCATTTGCCTGCATTTGTAACGGCACTTAAGCAAACCTAAACTGCACACATTCTGATGTGAAGAAAACATGCAGCTCATTTAAAACAAGTGTAATCAAACATTACTGTGTAGTAAATAATATAAAAAAATAAAGTAATATGATCCATAAAAAATAAAAATATTTACAATGATTAGCTATAAAACTGAACTGATCTAAACAAACTAGATAACTTGAATTTCAAGTGTAAGCTCGCCTCGAACAATATTTATACAAACGAGGTCTGATACCACTGCGCACTGTACACACAAACTATAAAAGAACATTATTATAAAACCCTTAAATCATATTAGAATTCAGTCATAGCCCCTACTTGTTCTTTAAAAAAAACATTTATTAATTATTAACATTTCTTATTAGACTGTACATGTCTTTCTGACAATTATTAGGCATACCTTGCACGCAGTTAAAATTGACTCGGATAACCATTGACTTACAAATAAATGGACGACGGGTCTAATACAAAAACCACGAAAAAAATGTCCCAAGTCAACCTATTCGAAATTTAAATTGTTATGTCATCGCAGTATCGCGCTGTCCGTAGAACAAATGAAGACTAAAGCGGAGTGTCGCGCTCTGTATACGATTTTAGCGCCTTACAAGTGCGGACACTTTTTAGCGCGGACCCGACGTCCATATAATTGTAAGTCAATGCGGATAACATATAACTATCGCAATGCACGTGATTAGAACTCCTCCAGTACATAACCAGAAATAGACGAAATGTCATTTAATTTGTTTGAAACTATTCCATTTACATTATTACCACATCATTACGGTGACAGCTGTGACAATTGACTGGTGTCGTCAATTGTTTCACTTCAAATCGACCAGTTTAACTTGAGCTTTGCTATAATGGACGAAAACTTTAAAATTACATATTTAATTACCGTTGAAATGTGATTCTGTTTGTTTGGTAATTAGATGTTTTGCTGTTTTTCCTTACACCACCAAATGGAACAGCCCCCCGTAGTTAGAGATATTATCTTTACTACAATAAATACAGAATATTTTTGGAATATATGTCGTCGTATATGTAGTATATGTAGACGTACACACGGGGCAGTTGTTGGGCACTTACTTTCTCAAACTCCTATCTTAAAGCACAAAGTTCTGAAATGCTAAAAATGGATTGCATATACAAATTTTGCAGGCTGATTTCACGTCCCATTTCCTTCATATGTAAATACTGTCTTTTACCTATGCATAAAGTAACGTATCAAAATTAACACCTTGATAAGAAATTTAAAATAAATAGAAAGTTTTGCCATCTCCTCCATTTATAAGACACGAGTTTGAGAATGTAAGGCATTGATATGGCCCATTTGTCTGACGAGTTGCCAGGGATGGATGGATGGCCCTTATTCCGTCTCTGTTTCTGGTTATATAATCGATGTTAGAACTTAAACCCATTTTCAGGCAATGACAGCTGACTGACAACTATTAATACCGTACTGGCGTTAACTACTAAAAAGCGACAAATTACAAAGCCCATTTAACCGATTAAGTTGAGTTTCAGCTATCTAAAAATTAGGGATATCTTCACCAAATCAATGTTTTCAATAATTCGATACAGGTAAATAAAGCATCGTCATTCAAACTTTGCCTCCTTGAATATGACTGATCGCCACAAGACCAACAAATATTCTTTAAATTCCGAACTAGACCTACTGTACATTCGAGATCCTATTGTGTACCGACCGACTACCGTTTACATGTAAAGATTTGACACTGTTTGATTCACAAACGTAATAAATAACTTCGCATATCAGTCTCAACTTTAAAATGTATTTACAGTTGTAGCTGTCGAAATAATACCGAAATGTTTGGAATATTGACATATCAACAGCTAGCTTAGCCAATTACTTAAATGTTATAGGCATATTTCAATATACATATAGTCCGTTTCAATCCATTATGCTCGAAAAGTAAACAAACAGGTCACTGACCCGACCATAGACAGTAGTAAATTCTTGTCCTTCGGAACAGGCAAATGAGACGGAATCCGAGACATGACGTTCCGAAATGTCACAGGGATCGTGTTATCTCTAGGTGTACGCGATATTTGAGACATAAGTTGACAAGTCCCATGTGCCTGTAATTTTACCAGCACCCTTACCCTTCGAAACCGGGACGCTGTAATATTCACATTACTGCTTGGCGGCAGAAATAGGGAAGGTTAGGAGTTAGTACACATGGGACACCCGAAGTGGCTCAGAGTTTTCCAGATCGACTGCGAATCGGATGCTGAGCGCGAACGTGCTAAGGCGTCTAATTGGCCATACTGCCAGATCTCTTGATTGTAATTTTTCTTCAATAGTATAAGAATAGACAGTTTAGTGATGGCCAAGTGTACTGCCAACTAAAAATGAATTAATTAATTGAATGAATAAATTTGTTTAATTGAATCAGTTCGAATTTTTTCTTTCTTCCCTTTCGCGATTTCGCTGCCGATTAAAAGAAATATGTTAAATATGAAAAAAAATGTGTTAAAACGGACTATAGTAACAGAAAGTTTTAGGTACTATTTTAATTATTTATAGAAGTATAACTGAGTGTTATAAAATTAAGAGTATAATATCTTTAATGATAGTACAATGGAATGATAAATGTTTTGGAGATTCCCCATATACAAATATTTGCCTAATTACAAGTATACTGCACATTCAGACTGCTGATGTTCCAGGTATATTAACATGTTCAAATTGAAGCAGTGACATCTGTCAATCATTGTATGTTACATAGTATCACCAAATAAAATATAGTATACTTAATGACTTAGGCCCATATTAATAAATCCATCTCAAGTGTTGATGGATATTACAATTTTAATCAACCGTCTTCATTAACAAATATCAATTGTGCTCCTATCCGTGATTACATTTGAAAGTATGTAAAATTACCAATTATTTATAAACAGCTCTGAGCAGTTTAGCTATGGCTCAAAATATTATATATTTAATAAATTATAATTGAAGCATTAGGAACAACAAGGACGTTCGAAACCCGAAGCCCGCTTAATGTTATTGCATCAAAACATGTAAAACACTGTCTAGTTATCTTGTGACAAAAACTCATTCCGATCTCCCTTCTAGATGGCGTAAGTTTCATTTATTTAGAAGGTGGAGCTCCGCCCTCGTAGCATGGATTATAAATGTGTGTATGAATTTCGGACATGTTTATATATACCACCTGCAGTTTATAAAAGCTTATTTAAATGTAAAAAACATGTCTGAAACGAGCGAATTCAAATTCAACATGGCGCATCTAGGAGGCCAGTGAGACCTGCTGAAGATGAATCAGTCGGTTCATTTCAATCCAACGTATTTAATGAAATGATTAAAAATACGTTTCAATTATTTTCAATGTAACTTTTAAGTAAGACTGATTCACAATTTATTTCCTTAAAAACCAATAATAAAATGAAACGCCCTATTAATTTACCGGTTTGGTGCAACAAGGGCGGATAACACAAGGGAAAAAAATAATTTCAAATGTTTCAATTGTTTTAATATAATAATAACACCTTTTAGCTAAATCATAGGACAAATAAATAATAAATTTTCTCGAATCATCTCACTTTTACGTGATACGCCCTTGTTACACCCACTGCTTCCATTAGTGTCTTGGTTACTTGAAATTGATGCCATCCAAGATCCCGATGATTGTAGTTTATTTCAGGTACATCTTGAGATCTTCGGATATTTATTAATACGGGCCTTATTAACTTCAGAATCGTGTTAAATAATGGTAAAGTTTTCAATTAATTAAATATTAGTTTCTTTACATTGTTCCGAATTAATAAATCAGTATTTTGTTATTTCAGTATTTTGCCATCAACGGGGTTTTAAAGCTCACAGTATTTTAAATGTAAAGGAAGATAATGATTTCTTAACATTACATTTTTGTCTTATCATAATTTAGTAAATTCAAAGTAGATTTCAACATTCTGTATTTTAAAATTTTATGGTTACATATACAATTTCTTGATTGTGTTTTTCAGTGTAACTGAAATTTAGAGACAAAATGTTTATCGCATACAGAACAATTTCATCGGTGTCTATATTCATTTAAAAACATTTGTACCGCTGACTACACTTTTTTGTATAACATGAAAACACAAGGGTACAAGGGTCGCGGACTCTGAACAACAACAGCAATATCATATTGCAAGGAAGACAGGACTAGATGAATCTATTAACGTTAAGTAGAGTCCATATATACCACCGCTACCTCCTATCGGGCCGAGCTGTCAGCTCCCGTATCGTTCGGCCTAACCTTACGGGTAAATACTACCGGGCGTCTCGCGGACCACTTAACACTACGGTAATAACGATGGTCGATTCGCTAAGGCTACGGTCTAAGCTACGGCCGGGCCGCTACTCGAGGCAGAAGAGCGCGCGGCAGGAGAGGCGCCGCCGCGGACTGGCGGGCAGCAGGGGCGCGCGGCAGGGCGGCGGGGAGGGAGGGCGGTAGGGTGGGGGTCACAGCACGCAGGCGGCGAACACCGCCATGGCGCGTCAGGGCGGCGCCGCGTGCCGCTCGGGCCGCTCGCCCCTCTCCCCCCTCTCGCCCCTCTCCGCGCGCTCGCCCCGCTCGGGCAGCGCGGGCGCGGCGTCGTCTGCGCCGGCGCCGCCCGCGCGGGCGCGCATCACGTACGCGTACGTCTTGTACCGCTTGATCTGCAACAGGCGCGCCGGTCAGTAAGAAACAACTATAGCTTGCGGTCATTGAGCCGACTTGTATACTGGTGTCTATATTGACATCGCTTCAATAACTTGACAGAAGCAAATAACTTTAAAGAAATGTGAAATTGAGGGATATCACTTCGTGAATTTTTGTGTTGTGAATATCACATTTTTATTATAATAATTATAATTTTCATCTCACCAGCTCGGAAAAGCTTTCTTTGTCATTGGAAATTTGCGAACAAAACAGGTTTTTCAAATTCGAACTTGACGGTGGACTGTGGTGCACCGAACTTTTTCTTTCGATTAAATAAAAGATAATGACACGTAACTACACGATTTGTCGTACATTATTTAGGTAATATAAATTCGTTGGCATCTTTTATTCTTATTATTGTTGACATTAAATTGACAACGATAACTAATTGTGTTTGTTATTTTAATTCGTCGCAGAACTAAAATAATCTCAATTAATCACACAAAATACAACTCGCAAAAGACAAATCGCGTAGTTGAACGTGACATTTTTTTTCATCAAAAGAAATAATTAGGTGCACCACAGTCTACCGTTAAGTTCGAATTTAAAATACCTTTTCTTCGCTAGCTTGTAGAAAATGCTTCTGCGCGCAGGTTAGAGTTTTGGCTTGGATACAAGTCCTTAGAGCCGTATCTTTGTTTAATTATCGGGATACTGTTTCAATTTCTCTTAAAGAACTTAGTTCACTTATTCGGTTTTTTTTTACATAGCCTTTTAAGCGGCGGGAGTCAATATTTATGTTTTCACTGTCACATAAATCACATTATAAAGTGACAGACACTTTGACTTCGTAGTTAGTGAAATTTTCAGGATAAACAAGTCTTTTGTAATTTGGTTTATTATAAGGAATGTAGTCATCACCATTTCTTTATTCGTTTTTTTGCATTGACTTACAAATAAATGGACGACGGGTCTAATACAAAAACCACGAAAAAAATGTCCCAAGTCAACCTATTCGAAATTTAAATTGTAATGTCATCGCAGTATCGCGCTGTCCGTAGAACAAATGAAGACTAAAGCGGAGTGTCGCGCTCTGTATACGATTTTAGCGCCTTACAAGTGCGGACACTTTTTAGCGCGGACCCGACGTCCATATAATTGTAAGTCAATGTTTTTTTGTTCATAATATACTTCAAATAAAAATAATCTTTGTAAAGACCGTAGTTGTATGTCCAAAAGTCGGTAATTTTTCTTACAATCTTTTAATGAGAAAGTAAGCCTTTCCGAGCTAGAGAGGTGAAAATAAGCATTGCTCAGGTCGACCCCTCCTGAATTGCCAAGTTTACAGGGGAGCGTTTTAAAGTTCTGGATTCACTGAAATGGGCATAACACGTGACTTTAGCATTTCTCAGTTTTATTCGGCAAAGCTACAAATCCTACATATCGTATAGGTGATCTACTAGATCTTAACTGCCTCCGTGGCCGAACGGTTATTACGCCGGACTGCCACGCAGAGGTCCCAGGTTCGATTCCCGGGCCGGGAGAAATATTTGTATGACCTACATTTATTTATCTCGCGAGTTTGGGTGTAATTTGTGTTTGTCTATGTGTGGGTCCATGGCACCAGCGACACAGGGTTTCCCTAGTGCGGGGCTATGTTGAGTGTGTGCGTTATTATTATTAACCATTTATTTATTGAACCAGATGAAACGCTCCCATGTAAACTTGGCAATCCAAACGCAGGAGGGGTCGAAGTGTCCGGGCCGCACCTCGTAGAGCAGGTAGTGGTCCTTGTCGCGCGCGTGCGGCGAGGCGTCGCGGGCGTGGCGCAGCGCCGCCAGCTCGTCCTCCAGCTGCGCGGCGCGCGCGTCGTGCGCCGCCAGCTGGTCGCGCATGGACAGGCGCGTGTGGCTGCACGGCAGCAGCGGCCGCTGGAACTTGCGCTGCGACCCCACGGCGCCGGCCAGCGGCGGCGCCGAGTACGCCGCGCACACGAAGTTTATGGTCTCCACCCACGAGCACAGCTCCTTCGAGTCGCTGCGGCGAGACAGAGCTTTTCCTACTCTCCACTTTGTACATTACTACCGCCTACAACTATGTTGAGGGCACGCGCTTGTAACCTTTTCAATCAAGACAAGGAAACGTACTGACATGTAAAGAGGCTGTATGGTGGCTGTTCCATTCGGCGGTGTGGGAAAAACGGCAAAACGTCTAGTTACAAAACAAACGGAATCACATTTCATAGGTAACTAAATGTGAAATAATGCAATTTTTCAATTTTCGTCCGTTATAACAAAGCTCAAGTTAAACTGGTCTCTTTAAAGTGAAACTATTGACGACTCCCGGCAATTGTTTCGGACTCGGGCTGGCCAATCGGAACGCAGTTGCCACTGCAACGATTTGGCAGGATAGTTTTCAAACAAATTAAATTACATTTCGTCTCTATTTCTGGTTATATACTCGATTTTACATCATGCGCCTGATGGTAACCAGCACTCTTATTCTTCAAAACTGGAACACAGTAACGCTGACATTACTGCTTGCCGGGAGAAATAGGTAAGATAGCAGTACTTCCCTAGACGAACTCTTTCACAAACTCGACTGCTAAGTGTATTGCATCACTTTGTTTGCTACAATCTTGTCGTCACGTCCCTGTGGAGAGCACCACCAATACGAGCGCCTGACTCCGAAGTTATTAAATTATTGTATTAAAAACATCAGTTTAAAAGAACCAAGAAGAACAGGCGTATATGAAAACAATAATGCAAGTGTAATATAAGTAATTTACCTAGTTTGGAATAAGTATTCCGCTTGGTCCGCAGTCTGCAATCTGAATACGTGTTGCTTTTTCGTGTAATCTGTAGCTTTCGTTGCTAACGCGTGGTGTATTCTGTAATATAATTGTAATTTAAAAAAGTCAAAGTCAAAGAATAACTTATTTCATAGGTAAAATAAATTTACACTTGAAAACGTCACATTTAAGATACTGCTCGTTTACTACGCTGACTTCCCTGAAAAGAACGAGCAAGAAACTCCATGGATTGCCCTTTTCAAATAAACTCAAATGCTATGGAATAATACTTTGAATCAAAGTTGTGTGGATTCTGGAGCCATGTCGTCTTTCCATACATGCATAAAGGGTCCACTGAAAACCAGCGCTGTGGCCCTGCCGCAGTATTAGCTGAGTTGGGTCCTTTTCAGAGCAATAATACACTTTTTTTTTTTTTTTTTTTTTTATACATGACAGGCAAATGACTCCACTCCACCTGAAGTTAAGTGGAAAGTGGTATCCAAACGCGAAGGAACCTAGTGCAGCGATGAAATCCTCATTGCACTAGCCACCTCCACCCTGCCTGCCTACAAAACTTTTAATACTAATCATTGACTTACAATTATACGGACGTCGGGTCCGCGCTAAAAAGTGTCCGCACTTGTAAGGCGCTGAAATCGTATACAGAGCGCCAAACTCCGTTTTAGTCTTCATTTGTTCTACTGACAGCGCGATACTGCGATGACATTACAATTTAAATTTCGAATAGGTTGACTTGGGACATTTTTTTCGTGGATTTTGTATTATACCCGTCGTCCATTTATTTGTAAGTCAATGATACTAATTATTAATATTGTACTCCACGTGTATTGTGCTGAATAAATTACATTTCTTTCTTTCTTTTTTTCCATACATATTTACCTAACACGTAGTCTTCAAAAAAAAAAAACGGCCAAAAAGATCGTGGAGTTACATCTATTTACCAAGTTTTACTGAAATCCTTCCCTGTGTGGCAGTTCCCGGGGCAGTATGACAATCGCCTAACGCTCAAAGGGATTCGTCTAAAAAACCGACAAACGGGTACTGACAATACGAATGCTCATATCGTAACGTCTTACGCTGAAATGATCCGGTCGATCGCCACCTTTAGAGACCGGACTAAGATGGTACGTCTTTATTCAGTTACGAGAAAAGCATCAGATACGGCAGTTAAGTGAGGAGGTTATATGGAGCTGTAAGTACCTGATTGCATTGTGCAGATTGTCAGACATTTGATTTCGCCGGAACCCGTGCTCGTCTTTGTGTAAATATAGGACCAGGTCTCTGAGCGTGCAGTAAAACATTTTCCATCCTCGCCGACCGAACGGTGCTGTGAACACGATGTCATGAATTATTTAATGAGGTACGACTACAAGTATTACTTAGAATTACATACACCGGCACTTAAGGGGACACTAGTAAACTCTCAAAGTAATGCAGTATTTGAAAAGTCCAGTCGGTTATTTTACTTTTTTATTTTAGGTGCAATTTCAAAATAAAGAATCATTCGACTGTAATTTTTTTATTCATGTGTGATTCCTGCTAATATAAGTTTGTCGAGTGGGTTCTTGTAAGTTTAGTTGAATAAGTTTTTGATAAATATACATAAAAATATACTTTTTTACTAGTTAGAAACATCGTTCACAAAAAGCCTTTCCGGTTTTAACCGTGGCGAAGGAGTTCAGATGAATTTCAGAAAAAATATAATAGCGAAAAAAATATACTGCCTTGTCATAAAATATAAAATAAAAAACAAGTTTCGTTTAATTTAGACTTTTTTCAATAAAGGTTGAGTAGGGCTGTAAAAAGTCGATGTTAAAATTCTCATTT